ACGCGAAATTAACATCCGATTCCATGCAGACTACACACATCTCAATATTTCCATAAACACAAAATCTCTTATAAAGGTGGTGGAGATCGCACCATTTCTTCTGATACCTCCCTCCATAGAGTTCAAGATTTTGAGAAACCAAACGCTCGGAGTGATCCAAATAAACACCCAACTCTCTTCAAGTTTCACACATCCGAACATTTTTGCTAACACAAGATCTGTTGTGAAGACTATATATATTTGCGAAACCCTTCTTGTATCTCACCCACAAAAAGTCAAAATTTTCAATCTGTCATAACTTGCGAAACAAGCCAGTGATTTTTTACAATTTGCTATATCTAAATATTTCTCTCGACCAGAAACTTGGGATGAATATGGATTTTATGATGAAGATACCAATATAGGCCAATCCTGGGAGATCGCAATATTTAAAACGTATTTATTTAGATCCAATATGAAATGGACAATATTGGCCCATTCCTTCAGAATCCACACCATAGAGGGTCAAGAGCTTAAATAATCATAACAGCAGTCAAAATTTATTGAAATAATCGAACATTGGCTGAGTCGGTATACGTCTGTGGGCAGAACCGACTGATATATATTTTTTTAACTTGTTGTAGCACAACTTATCCACGCTGTTACATAGATTTTTGATGCGCACCACTCTAACATCCATTTGAAATATTCCAAACCAGCTGCCATCTGAAATCAAATCAAACGTCTAAGCATGCGCACAACGAATGCACTCACAAATTGTTACTACGGCCATTGCGATGTGTCAACGATTGCAGCGATGTTTTTTTCCTTCAATTTTTTGTGTTTTGTTTTGCGGTGAATACAATTTGAAAATTAACAAACAACTCTCATACCTGTGCCTCTAAATCTGCACCAGCACACATACTTGCTCGCTCACATGCTGCCACCTGGCAGATGTTGTTGCCGTCGTCGTCTGGCGGCCATAAAAAAAACACACCGAGCAACATTCAAATTGCAACCAAAATTGCACATCTTAAAAATTAAATGAAATCAACATTGTCACGTTATATTCATGTAGATTTAATTAAAAACGAAAATGTAAACAAAAAAAAAAAGTAAAATTGTTTGAAAAAAAAAATGAAGAAAAGGTTATGCGGCAAAATTAAATTTTGGAAAAATTGCAAAAGTGTTTTCTATGATTCTGAAGAATCCATTTTAATTGAGTAGGAAAAATTCTTGAAATATTTTAACCTTTAATTTGTAACGTTTGCACGTTACACAAATCAAATCAAAGAAAACAAAACAAAAGACTTAAGACACAAACTTCATGACATTCCGAGTCCATGCAGTCTGGCCGTGGACAAAACACTGCCGAAAAACAAAACGCCAAAACCAAACAAAACAAAAAAACTCAAAACCAACAACAACAACAAATCATGTTTCGTTAGTAGCGCTGTCACACGGACTTGTCGTCTACATACCCTTCACTTAATCAATTGCTTGCCAGACTTTGTGTGATTTTCCACGGTTGTCTATTTAAAATAGCAACAGTCATTGGAGGGAAAAACATACAGAGCGGCTGCTGTTGCTGCTGCCACTGGCTGTTATGATTCGAACCAACTTGCGACGGCTCGAGTGAAAAAAAAAAACAGAAAAAAATCGAAACAACATTTGGCACAAAATGTGACAACTGTTATTTGTTAAATGAAATTTATGATAAATACAAAAAAAATTTAAAAATAAAGGGGGTATCTGACAGTGTTTTGAAATGAAAGCAAATAAATATTAAAAAAAATCGAAATGAAAAATAGTTTTTATTTTATAATTAACAATATCTATTATTTATAAGATTTTAATATAAAAATATTGCATGCTTTTAGGCGCTTCAATGAGAACTACTATTAATTCAAAATTTAAAAGTTATATGTTACTAGAAATACAAGAAGAAAAAAAATAAAATTATTAAAAAATCCAGGTCCTTTTCAAAAATATTCTTTAAAAATCCACGTTTGTTAATCCTTTTCAAAAATATTAAAAAATATTTTTGAAAGGGACCAACAAAACCTAGATTTTTTTAAGAATATTTTTGAAAAGGACCTGGATTTTTTTTTAATTTTTTATTAAAAAAAAATATTTTTTAAAAAAATATTTTTGAAAGGGACCAACAAAACCTATTTTTTTAAGAATATTTTTGAAAAGGACCTGGATTTTTTAATATTTTTATTTTTTTCTTCTTGTATTTCTAGTAACATATAATTTTTAAATTTTAAATTAATAGTAGTTCTCATTGAAGCGCCTAAAAGCATGCAATATTTTCAAATTAAAATCTTATAAATAATAGATATTGTTAATTATAAAATAAAAACTATTTTTCATTTCCATTTTTTTAAATATTTATTTGATTTCACTTCAAAACACTGTCAGATACCCCCTTTATTTTTAGATTTTTTTTTCTGTTGGACTTTTTCAAAAATATTCGTTAAAAAATCCATTTTTGTTAATCCTTGAAAAAAATATTCTTTAAAAAATCCACGTTTGTTAATCCTTGAAAAAAATATTCTTTAAAAAATTCACGTTTGTTAATCCTTGAAAAAATATTCTTAAAAAAATTCACATTTGATAATCCTTGAAAAAAATATTCTTTAAAAATCCACGTTTGTTAATCCTTAAAATCCCTAAAAAATCCGCGTTTCAGATGTTCCTTAAAAAATATTCTTTAAAAAATCCACGTTTCTGTTGGTCCTTTTCAAAAATGTTCTTTAAAAAATCCACGTTTCTGATGGTCCTTGAAGAAATATTCTTTAAAAAATCCACGTTTCTGATGGACCTTGAAGAAATATTCTTTAAAAAAATCCACGTTTCTGTTGGTCCTTGAAAAAATATTCTCAAAAAAATCCACGTTTCTGAAGGTCTATGAACAATTATTATTTGAAAAATCCACATTTGTTAATTCTTAAAAAAATATATATAAAAATATATATGTATATATATATAAAAAATTCTTTAAAAAATCCACGTTTCTGTTGGTCCTTGAAAAAATATTCTCAAAAAAATCCACGTTTCTGAAGGTCTATGAACAATTATTATTTGAAAAATCCACATTTGTTAATTCTTAAAAAAATATATATAAAAATATATATGTATATATATATAAAAAATTCTTTAAAAAATCCACGTTTGTTAATCCTTTTCAAAAATATTTTTTAAAAAATCCACGTTTGTTAATCCTTGAAAAAAAATGTTCTTTAAACAATTTACTTTTGTTAATCCTTGAAAAAAATTCTTTAAAAGATCCACGTTTGTTAATCCTTTTCAAAAATATTTTTTAAAAAATCCACGTTTGTTAATCCTTGAAAAAAAATGTTCTTTAAACAATTTACTTTTGTTAATCCTTGAATAAAATTCTTTAAAAAATCCACGTTTGTTAATCCTTTTCAAAAATATTTTTTAAAAAATCCACGTTTGTTAATCCTTGAAAAAAAATGTTCTTTAAACAATTTACTTTTGTTAATCCTTGAAAAAAATTCTTTAAAAAATCCACGTTTGTTAATCCTTTTCAAAAATATTTTTTAAAAAATCCACGTTTGTTAATCCTTGAAAAAAAAATGTTCTTTAAACAATTTACTTTTGTTAATCCTTGAAAAAAATTCTTTAAAAAATCCACGCTTGTTAATCCTTGAAAAAAAAAATGTTTTTTAAAAAATCCACGTTTGTTAATCCTTGAAAAAAAATGTTCTTTAAACAATTTACTTTTGTTAATCCTTGAAAAAAAATGCTTTAAAAAATCCACGTTTGTTAATCCTTTTCAAAAATATTTTTTAAAAAATCCACGTTTGTTAATCCTTGAAAAAAAATGTTCTTTAAACAATTTACTTTTGTTAATCCTTGAAAAAAATTCTTTAAAAAATCCACGTTTGTTAATCCTTTTCAAAAATATTTTTTAAAAAATCCACGTTTGTTAATCCTTGAAAAAAAATGTTCTTTCAAAAATTTACTTTTGTTAATCCTTGAAAAAAATTCTTTAAAAAATCCACGTTTGTTAATCCTTTTCAAAAATATTTTTTAAAAAATCCACGTTTGTTAATCCTTGAAAAAAAATGTTCTTTAAACAATTTACTTTTGTTAATCCTTGAAAAAAATTCTTTAAAAAATCCACGTTTGTTAATCCTTGAAAAAAAAAAATGTTTTTTAAAAAATCCACGTTTGTTAATCCTTGAAAAAAAATGTTCTTTAAACAATTTACTTTTGTTAATCCTTGAAAAAAAATGCTTTAAAAAATCCACGTTTGTTAATCCTTGAAAAAAAAATGTTCTTTAAACAATTTACTTTTGTTAATCCTTGAAAAAAATTCTTTAAAAAATCCACGTTTGTTAATCCTTGAAAAAAAATGTTTTTTAAAAAATCCACGTTTCAATATTCTTTAAATAGTTCACGTTTCTGGTGGTCCTTGAAGAAATATTCTTTAAATAATCCACGTTTCTGGTGGTCCTTGAAGAAATATTCTTTAAAAAATCTCCGTTTTTGATGGTCCTTCAAAAAATATTCTTTAAAAAATCCACGTTTCTGTTGGCCCTTTTCAAAAATTTTCCTTAAAAAATTTACGTTTGCTGATTCTAAAAAATTGTTTTCTTTAAAAAAATCCACGTGTGGTTGTCCGTTGATCCTTTTAATCCCTTCTTGAACCACTGTCCCATCCATCAGTTATGAATACAAAAGTCAAACGTATGTGCACCACAATTTTCATAAAACTTCAAATTGATTTGACAACTGATTGCAACTGTATCTAATCTTGGAGAGTAACTCAGACCAAAACAGAGAAAAAAAATCAAAACAACGACAAGCTATAGACAATCCGTCGTACGACTGGACTGGACGATAAATTGAATATGCGAATGTGAATAGCAAACGAATATATAATTATATGTGTACAAATATTTATGTATATATGTTACGGGTCCAGCACAACTCTCTTTTTATATTAATGTTACATATTTATTTTTTTTATTTCTCTCCCCTTTTAGGCCGACAAGTTTTTTGAAATGAATTGATGTTGTTGCAGCGCTTTGACTACAAAAATGCACTTCATTTTGGGTAAGTAAGCGATTTGAGTTTTTTTTTTTTGTGAGATTTGTTTAAACATGTTTGCATTTTGATTTTTAAATACCCTACTGAGAGCATATGGAACACTTTTGATTGTTCTTCAAAGTCCTTGAAAAAATAATTAAAAAAATCCTCGGTTATAGTCTTGAGAGTCCTTGAAAAAATATTTTAAAAAATCCACGACAATACCCTTGAGAAACCTTGAAAAAATATTTTAAAAAATCCACGACAATACCCTTGAGAAACCTTGAAAAAATATTTAAAAAATCCACGACAATACCCTTGAGAAACTTTGAAAAAAATATTTAAAAAAAAAAATCCACGACTGCGGCCTTGGGAGTCCTTGAAAAAAAAAATAAAATCCCGGAATACAGCCTTGGGAGTCCTTGAAAAAAAAATAAATTTTAAATCCCCGACAATAGACTTGGGAGTCCTTGAAAATAATATTTAAAAAATCCAAGACTATAGCATTGGGAGTCTCTGAAAAAAAATATTTATAATATCCACGACTATAGCCTTGGGAGTCCTTGACAAAAATATTTAAAAAATCCAAGACAGAATGGCAGTCCTTGAAAAAAATATTTAAAAAATATTTAAAAAGTTTACGACTGTAGCCTTGAGAGTACTTAAAAAATATTTCAAAAATCCACGACTATAGCCTTGACAGTCTTTGACAAAATATTTAAAAAATCCACGACTATAGCCTTGGGAGTCCTTGAAAAAATATTTAATAAATCCACGACTACAGCCTTGGGAGTCCATTAAAAAAAAATAAAAAAAATCCACTACTATTGCCTTGGGAGTCTTGAAAACAAATATTTAAAAAATCCACGACTATAGCCTTGGGAGTCATTGAAAAAATATTTAAAAAATCCCCGACAATAACCTTGGGAGTCCTTGAAAAATAATTAAAAAATAGAAGACTATAGCCTTGAGAGTCCTTGAAAAAAAATTAAAACATCGAAGACTACAGCTTTGAGAGTCCTTGAAAAAAAATTAAAAAATCGAAGACCATAGCCTTGAGAGTCCTTGAAAAAATATTTCAAAATTCTACGCCTATAGCCTCGGGAGTCCTTGAAATAAATACTTAATAAATCCACGAGTGGATATTAGAGTCCAGTTTTAGAGCCATTTCAGATATTAGATTTCTCTCTTGTCGACCCAGTCCTCTTTTTCAACCTTAAAATGGTCCAACTTGTTTTCTTCGGCCGACCGACCGTTCCATGGCATGACACTATGTAACTTATGTTGTCGATGTTAATAAAAGTACCAAGTTTTGTTGCTGTTGTTGCTGTTGTTTTGCATTCTTCATGTTGTTGTCCATTTAATTGTGTGTTATATTTTCAAAGATTATAATTTAGATTGTAAATATGAATATTACGATGACATTTGAAATGTTCTGACTGAGGCCGTAGTTATTGTTGTCGTTTATGTTGTTCTGCTGCCATGTCTTGTCAACATGTTATGTTGGGTTATTTGTTCAACAACGACAACAAATAACATCATAAACAATCATAATAAAAATAAAGAATACTAACAGGAATAATAACAACACAAAAAATACAAATTTATGTCACAAATGTGACAGCTGGGGAAATGACATGTGAGGGGTAGATGGACCTCGTAAAGGTCTACTATGGGGAGAAGACTTGAAAATTTCTTGGAAAAAATCAACTCTTGGTTGTCCTTGAAAAAATATTCTTTAAATAATCCACGTTCTTTGGTCCCTAAAAAGAGATTCTTTAGTAAAATCCAGGCTCTGTTGATCCTTGATAAAATATTCTTTACAAAATTCACGTTTCTGTTGATCCTTGAAAAAAAATCTTTAAAAAATTCACATACTCTTGGTCCTTGAAAAAAATATTTTTTAAAAAATCCACGTGTTTCTCGGTCCTTGAAAAAATATTTTTTAAAAAATCCACGTGTCTCTCGGTCCTTGAAAAAATATTTTTTATAAAATCCTCCTTTCACGGGTACTTAAGAAAATATTCTTTAAAAATTCCACGTTGCTGGTGGTCTTTGAAAAAATATTCCTTAAAAAATCCACGTTGTTGTTCGTCGTTGAAAAAATCTGCGTTTCACGGGCCTTGAAAACATTCTTCCTTAAAATTCCACTTTGTTGTTGGTCGTTGAAAAAATATTTTCCAAAAAATCCACGTTTCACGGGTTCTTGAAAAAATATTCCTTAAAAATTCCATATTTCTGTTGGTCCTCGAAAAAATATTCCTTAAAAATTCCATATTTATGTTGGTCCTCGAAAAAATATTCCTTACAAATTCCATATTTCTATCGGTCCTTAAAAAAATATTCCTTAAAAATTCCATGTTTCTTTTGGTTTTTTTCAAAAAATCCACGTTTCTGTTGGTCCTTTTCATAAATTATTCTTTAAAAAATGCACGTTTCTGTTGATCTTTTCAAAAATATTCTTTAAAAATCCATATCTCTTTTGACCTTTTCAAAAATATTTCTTAAAAAATCAACGTTTCTGTTGGTCCTTATCAAAGATATTCTTTAAAAATCACGGGTATCTGTTGGTCCTTTTCAAAAATATTACTTAAAAATTCCACGTTTCTGTTGGTCCTTTTCAAAAATATTCTTTAAAAAATCCACGTTTCTGTTGGTCCTTTTCAAAAATGTTCTTTAAAAAATCCACGTTTCGCCTGGACCTTTTCAAAAAGATTCTTTAAAAAATCCACGTTTCTGCTGGACCTTTTCAAAAATATTCTATAAAAAATCCACGTTTCTGTTGGTCGACTCCAAAAATATTCTTTAAAAAATCCACGTTTCTGTTGGTCGACTCCAAAAATATTCTTTAAAAAATCTACGTCTCTTTTTGACCTTTTCGAAAATATTCTTTAAAAAATCCACGTTTCTGTTGGTCCTTTTCAAAAATATTCTTTAAAAAATCCACGTTTCTGTTGGACCTCTTCGAAAATATTCTTTAAAAAATCCACGTCTCAGCTGGACCTTTTCAAAAATATTCTTTAAAAAACCACGTCTCAGCTGGACCTTTTCAAAAATATTCTTTAAAAAATCCACTTCTCTACTGGACCTTTTCAAAAATATTACTTTAAAAAATCCACGTCTTAGCTGGACCTTTTCAAAAATATTCTTTAAAAAATCCACGTGCCTTCTGGTCTTTGAAAAAATATGTTTTTAAAAAATCCTCGTTTCTGTTGGTCCTTGGAAAAATATTCTTGTGAAAATCTTCGTCTCTAAAAATATTCTTTAAAAAATCCTCGTTTTTGTTGGTCCTTGGAAAAATATTCTTTTGAAAATCCACGTTTCTGTTGGTCCTTTTCAAAAATATTCTTTAAAAAATCCACGTTTCTGTTGGTCCTTTTCAAAAATATTCTTTAAAAAATCCACGTTTCTGTTGGTCCTTTTCAAAAATATTCTTTAAAAAATCCACGTTTCTGTTGGTCCTTTTCAAAAATTATTCTTTAAAAAATCCACGTCTCAGCTGGACCTTTTCAAAAATATTCTTTAAAAAATCCACTTCTCAGCTGGACCTTTTCAAAAATATTCTTTAAAAAATCCACGTCTCAGCTGGACCTTTTCAAAAAGATTTTTTAAAAATCCACTTTTAGTCCTTTTCAAAAATATTTTTTTTAAATCCACGTCTCTGCTGAACCTTTTTAAAAATATTCTTTAAAAAATCCACGTTTCTGTTGGTCGACTCCAAAAATATTCTTTAAAAAAGCCATTTTTCTTTTAGTTCGTAGAAAAAATAATCTTTTAAGAATTTCACGCTTCTATTGGTCCTTTTCAAAAATATTTTTTAAATAATCCACGTCTCTGCTGGACCTTTCCGAAAATATTCTTTAAAAAATCCAAGTTTCTTTTGGTCCCTAAAAAATTATTATTTAAAAAATCCTTCTCAAAAATATTTTTTAAAAATCCACATTTTTTATATACATTTTTTAAATAACTCAAACAAAAGACTTAAGGCACAAACACGACCATGTATTCGCTCAGCCATTGGCCTTATTTTCCGTTTTCTTTTTGTTGTTTTTGTAAATCAAATCTCCACAATCAACTTTTAAGTCATAGCTCTTATCAAATTAATCAATCTAATCTGAGATTTTTTTGAGACCATTAAAAAAAGACTACGAAAACTTGTTTTCCTAACTGTACCAACAATTTTTATTTTTAGTTTATTTTTCTTGTTCGTTTTTTTATTTGTTATGATTTACGTATTATGTATGTCCAAAAAAAAAAAAAAAAAAAAACGAGCGATAATATCTGCTTTCGTGTCTCTTTTTATATTTATCTATTTTTTTTTTTTACAATATAAATTTGATATAACGTTTTGTTTAAGTTAATTTAAAAAACGCCCAACAAAACCACAAATATTTTCAAAAATATTTCTATTGTTGGCATTTGGATGGCGAGTCTTTCTTTTTTTTTTCGTCTTCTTTAATTTAATGCAAAACACCTGCTGTGCGAACTCACACGCCTCAGTCCGTAGTGGATATTTGGTTGTTATCTGATATCATGATATCATCACCCGAAATTCCTCCAAAGCAAATAAATCCTGAATTGAAGTATTGAATTAAAGAAATTAATTCGAAACGCGAGGCAGAAAAAGAAATTCTTAAATCAAATTAGACAAACCACAACAAAAGACCGCAGAGAATAGACAACAGGCCATAACAATGCCACCCAACAATAATTGAAGGCAGGAATTCAACTTCGCTGTGAGGGGGAAGGGGAAGAGTCTCCAACGGCTTGTAAACAAGAAGCTCATTTTTTGTTGTTAGACCATAAATATTTGTATCTTTTTGATAATGTGTTGCCTGAAAATGATTATGTGGAGAGGAGAGGAGAAAAGAACAGCGAAACAAAAGACTTAAGACACAAGCACACCCAGTGCCAGGGAATGCAAGCTCTCCTCTCTCTCTAAGTCAATAAAATATTAATTAATTACATTTTTATTGATCGAAATGAGATGAGTTGATTTGATTTGTTTGGAGGGAGGGAGATATTCT